TGGTGACTTCCGACTACGTACAAAATCATACAGTCGTGCCGAGGTTTAAGTGATTTGATGACTTGTTCTGATCCAAGAAATAAGTCGTTGTTAAACTTGTTAAAGATTTAAGCCTGGATTAAAACTTTTAGACGGGAAAAGGCCAGGAGAATTGAGGAGAATTCTATACAATTTATGGGGGCAGTGTAAATAAATACGGACACAGTGGCGAATTGATATGAACAAACAGTTCATGAAAAGAACAAAATACATTTCACATGGGATGCGAGGTCTGCAATCACTAATATCGTCTTGGAAAGGAAAGGAAAAAAAGAGATCATTACAACACGGGGTATTTTCTATTTGATAAACCAACCAAGTACTAATCCCACCGAAAAGGGCTTTTATGATCCGACAAGACGCGGTGCTGTCCTTGTGGTATAGTGATTCCACGCTGAGCACAGTATCATATTCTCTCAAAAGATAGCAAAGAAAGAGAAAACAAGTCCACACCTGGAGAAACCAGAACCTAGGATCGTAAATACCTAACTGAAAATCAGTTAAGGTTCTCGTCAAAGATATTTTACACAACCTTATATCGATTGAACGGACAATGGATGGGTTACGCCAAAGCTAAAACTCACTTCAGTGGCATCAAAATTACCACTCTCTACAGACTATTCATTTTCCAAGTTGAGCAGCTCATTGCCACTTTCAGGTTGCCCTTAAAAACCAAGTTTCGGTGTCAAAGAACGCGTAAACACCATTGAAATAAGAAAAGGTCTATTCTTCGTGGGGGGTCCAACTGACGAAATGTCATAATCGTTAAAATTATCTCTTATTGACGAATTTCAAGTGGAGGATCAGATATTTTTCAGCTGGTCAAATGCCGCTATCTCTGAAATTTGGTTGTTGTTGTTCTCTTTTTTTTTAACAAAACTGTACAAACCTTTCGCCATACTGTTGCACTAATATCAGCAGAAATATAAACATACTGGATCAAAAAGTGTCGACCACGGTTAAGTGGAAAATCATGACATATGCGGAGTACAAATGTTTAAAAAATAAGTCAGAGATCAGTTAGAATACCAAGTTTAAATTGATTTTAATCAGATTAAAGAATATGACGGTACGAGGAAACTCATTTGTTTATAGGAAAATGGTATTTCGTAAGTAAACTATGGTTAGACCTTCCAAGAGCGTTTACTCGGGCTTCGTATCGCAATATCAACTCGTGCTCTACAAGTACTGAGCACAATAAAAACAAATAAAAGAATCAGGATATTTAAAACAAAAGTTAAGCTTAGATATTTACTATTCAAGCTGCTCACACGGATAATTTTCTCTAACCCGAGCTAAAGACATAATTTTTTTTAATTCTAGTACTCTTTATTTAATTACCTCATTCTTCTGATTATTCAGACCTCACGCTCCATGCAACTCCGATGTTAACTTGGCTGGGGTGGATGGTGCGCAGATTAAAACCCTTAAAGCCTATTACAGACAGAAACAATTATACGACTTTTCCAACCTCACTTGAGATTAGACCTGCCTGGATTTTTTTTTTAACACTTTAAAGGGCCGCAAATTTCCAAAGCTAATTGGTGTTTTTTAAATCGTACTTGTCAAGATATAAATTATAACAAAGCTAGGTAAAAATAGTTTCTTCTGAGAATTATTCCTATGTGTTGCACCATACCCTATTTCAAACCAAAATGACCAAAATCTAAATATTGTTTTCAGGCAAAAACAGCAAATAACTCATACTTTTTGAGGCAGCGCTCATCTTTATTACTTGTAAAAGGAATATCCCCTCTCGTTTGTTTTTTGTTTTGTTTTTTTGACATCTTTCTGTTTTTTCCTTTATAAAAAAAATAATTTCCCGCAGAGTACTCTGTGAGCTTACGTTGAATGAAATAACGTAGTAACCAGCATGAACTGAAATTTGCCGAACTGGGTCATGTGAGATCTAGTTACGTTTGAAACGATTTCTTTGAAACTACAGTGTACGATGCTCAGAAATCCTGCTTTTGCTAACAGGAATCTTAGGTTTTGATTTGATTTCTGGAAGCTGTTCAGATACGATAGACAAGATGTTGCCTCGTTAAACAGAGGATATTACATGGCTGCAAGGAGATACGAAATATCTCGTCCAGTGGTGCAAAACGAGAACAGAAATGTCGTGTCTCCAAGTGGCCGTGTAATGTTCCATTTATCATGCAACTAGCAATGAAATACCAAAACATTTCACTTTCGATGCGAAAAGCGCGATTTATAATGTACAACTATAGCAGCGGTGATGAGATAACATGTTATTTTCGCATGTGAAGATGCATGTTCACCTGGTATTTCACTGGTGTCTATAGAATATCATGCTTTACTGCATAATTGCTTGTCAACTTGTTTTCTATTGCAGGACTGGGATGAAGTGATGACAGCAAGATAAAATGAAGAAAAATGGAGAATAACTTCGACTTAAAACTAACGGTGAAAAGTTTTGAAAAATAGAAAAGTATTTAAATACTGATTTATTTGAAGTTCATTAAAGCTTTAAGGATACTACATAGATTGTTGACCTTCTGCAGTCTATTGAATACGTTCTGTAGAAGCCCCTTAACCCTTTGCCCAACCTTAAGAAGAAATCCACTTTTTAATTTAGTCACATTCAATAAATACGGTATGTTGCAACCGTAAACATCAAGGCATTCACGCCGTTTCACAGCACACGGCACGTTAATACCACTTGAGTAGATATGATATTTGATTTCAGTTTGCCTCCTAGAGTTATCTAATAGTCATCTACATCGTATTGCTTGGCACAACACTGTGGCCTATTGAAGCTAGTATTAATAAAGGTAGTAGTTTAATTGTGTCTTCAAATATTTCAACAACCCGCTATTTCATCCCTTCAAGTTTGTCCCGTTTCAAATTTTCAGAATTTTAGCCATTCTCCAATATTCACTTTACCAAAACAACCTTTCCATTATGCCTCAATGTTTTTCAATGGTCGGGGCTGGATTTTGTCTTTACTAATTGTTCACTAACTCTGTACGTGAGCTTTTTGGAAGTCCCTAGAGTAAGTCAAACAATTAATAAGCGTTACATCATCTCCTATAATACCAACAGGAAGTCTCCCTGTATACATTCTATATTTTTGTTCTTGAAAACCGTTTTTAATTTATCTGTACTCATGCTGACATTTATTGAAAACTACATTGTCAGAGGGCCTTGAAGAAAAAGCACCGATTCTTGATTCTTTTCCACTCATGAAATATGGCCTATAGCACAGTTTGGAACGACAAAAGCCTCTTGAAATTTGCTTTGATCTTGTTTAGCCATCTTAGTTACTACAGGCCGACAAACGCAAACGACCATACTATATGGTATATTATTATCTTACCGGTTAACCTTAACTATTCTTCTATTTCATAACAAACGTCCCGTCGGTTGACTTCTTGGGTGGAAAATGTTTACCTATTAAACCCGCGTATTTTCAATAGCCTGTAAACAATATTTCACAGTTTAGATCTACCTCCTTGGTGACTTGGTTATTGGTGATAATTAAACACTAAAAACTGACCTCCGTATCTACTGTTATCTTCATGGCTAGACTATTCAGCAATATTATCTCAAAAGTTCCGTAATTATTTGACTATATAGGCGCTAAATAATCACTTAATCACTAATTAACTTTTAACATTTTAATTTTACCCAATCTATCTGTTAGCTAACTGGAAGACTAAAAACACTAACTTGGAGGTATTGGGAACTTTAATTAGCTCACTAGTGGGTGCCCTTAAGACTTTCCCCCGCACTGTCTACTAATAACTGACTCTGTGGTTAGTGCTCAAGATTGTTAAGCAGCGATCGATTGAGGGGTTTGTAAACCGCGGACTCGTCAAATGCGAACTTATCAGTCCTCGTTGAAAGCCGTATCAGCTTCCCGGTTCGATCTCTCCACAATGGTAGCGTTGAAATTCGAATTCGTTGGAGTCATTTTTCTGGTGTATTTCACCATTTACGTCAATGCTGGTAAAAAGGAATGAGTTTGGAAGACTGTCCTTGAAAAGTTGAACAAACTTAAATGCCCAAAACAAGGTACACTCAGAAATGTTTTCTATCTTGTCAATGTATCAAACGGTTTTAAATCTGTCGTTTTCCGTCATTCTTAATCTTTAAATAGTGAACAGTGATTAACTTACGTGTGCTTTTTATGATCTCAGTATAAAATAACTAAAAAGATTTATTGTGCACCTTCTATTTGGGTAGTGTCGGACACCTGAGAACACCATGGCCCAAGTTCATGCAAAGAGATCTATGACAAAGATCAGTAAGTTGTAATAAAATTATGCAAAAACTACGATCTGAAGCTCGCTGGCAACTGTTTGCAGCATTTTTTCAGCACCTCTTCTTTGATAGACCAGTATTACAGTTGTTGTAGTTGCAGTTGACGCTACAAAAATGAAATCAAACAAATTAGCCAAACATCGGTGCGCAAGGTATAATACCGGTTAAAACAACCTTTAATTATATTGGAGAGGGTCTATCTGTATAAATACGGAGAATCTGGCCCTCTATCGCAGACGGATTCCCAACCGTATGTTCACGATAGAGGGCCAGACGGTCAACATCAAGAATTTGCGAACGGGACTTTGCGCGTGATGCTCAACGAGTTTGCTTATGAATTCTAAAGGTCTCTGAGGAGTCTCTTGGCCGAGACGAAACGCCGCGTCAGACTAGCATAAAATTAACGGTGTTTTTAGGAAGTTATATTGGTACTATGGTAAGCTTTTGCGTAACAAAAATGACCACAACTTGTTAACCAATGATTGGCAATTTGGTTGGCATCGTTGTTAAAGTATCAACTGAAATAGAGACGTAGCATTGATTCATCAAAGAAGAATTGAGATATGTTAAAAACCGTTGTGAGCCACCAAAACCAGTTTCTATTTGATTCATCTAGCTTTGATATAAAGCTACGAACATGGTGTATTCATATAGACTTTCCTGTCTACTGCTACATGGATGATGATGACCTTGGCCAATGTGGTGGTGGTGGATGGACCATGGTCTTGAAAATTGACGGCTCAAAGGTACACCTTAAGCGCTTACGTTGTAAACAGATAGTCCAAACATAGCCCAAATTTTGCAGTTTCAACTGAAGAAGTTAACTAAAGGTCATATCAAGATTTGAAGTGCAGTCATCAAAGTCGAGGATGAATATTGCGAAGACGTTAATACCTTCCGTCTATATTTTCTGCGAGGATAAAGCCAGTTACACTCAAATCTGCGCACATATATTCAGTTGAAATTTACCCATACGAAAAACAGTGCTAATAATAAAGGTGAAATATAAGAACGTTCTCTAGCTAAAAATATATTAAAAGCAAGCTTTCGGCTGTTTTGAACACAGTATTTAATGGGCGAACTGGTTTAAAAGCCCTGAAAATTCAAAAATACAGTTAAAGCAGTAAAAATAAATAAAAGAAATCCGAGGTATATAAATCTGAAGAGCGGATTGTCAAAACAAGATGAAATATTGAACCAATCCAATTTTGTACAAAAGCGTAGTAACTGATGATCCCAAAAAAGGCTATTTTTGCCACGTAGCTGCAATTTAAATAAAAACATATATAAATATCTTAATTGACCACTCCCCCAACGCAGCTTTTCAGGGCGAACAGAAGAAAACAATGAGACAAATAATCTAAATGAAGATAACATGGTTAAAAAATCCCAAGTGGCAAGAGGTCAACCTGTCAGCTATAGACAAGCGTGGGCTAGGACTCAAGACTACCGAGATAACACCAGCTAGTATTCAGAACAGGACTTGAACTCACGGTCTCCGGATTTCAAGTCCGGCGCTCTAACCACCCGTCCATGCTGCCTGAATTTGCTAGATTAATGATCTCTTCTTTTTATCGGTAAAATGAATATTTCGCCTTCATTCTTTAATATTTAATTTAGGTCAAAATTAAAGACAGTAGAATATAATCGACATCATTGGCGTGACCTAAAATTGGATAAAACGTTCCACGAAACATCAGTTCACTTCCCCGATCAATTTCGTGCTTCAGTTTTTATATTTTAGTGGTTGCAATAGTAGAGGAAAATGGATGATGTGACAACTTGTACTAAAGTGTTCGTATTTTGCAGAAAACTTTTCACTACGACTCACCTTACTGGACTGACAAGAACACGTACGGCTTAAAATCACCGGAAGGGGAGACAGGCTTAGACCACGAAGAGACCAAGCTACCAACCTACTGGAACACACCCTTTACCAAAATCTGCCTGGGCATGACGATCCCTGGAGAGGATACCAGGTTCCTTGCTCTAAACATGAAGGCTAGTTCGCTGGATGCCCTGATTGTAGATGGTAAATGCCGCCCCACCACAGTAGGTCGTCACCAATGGAAGACATTGATTGGTTACCACGCCTCCCTGCAGCCCAACTGCAACAGAGAAGGTTTTAATGTTATGAGTGATAATCCCCCCTTTTCTAAAGCAAGAATTGGCGATGTGTGTAATCAAGAAAATGATTGCGTTACTGGCGACTCCAGGATCGGGTTTGGTACAGGCGGCCACCAGAGGGACTTCGACTCCTGAGGAAACGAGGCTACGCACTCCCCCAGACAACGCCGGGAGACAAACACATCCAAGCCATGGGATACATCTTGGTTCAGTGAAGAGAACTGAACTGTATAAGGTTAAAGGGAAAAAGCTAAGACCACATGTAGGAATGAAGAATAAATTGTTTCAGATATGGTTTGTAACATGTATAAGCTTATAACATGTTCTTTTAGAGAGAATTAAAAAGGGGGTTTATCTTGTCGCTGTTCAAAAAAACAATAATAAAGTGGGTTGATGAATCGATAAATACGACTCATTTGGTGTGTTATCGTGAACAATCTCACTCTTATATTGTGTTACTGACGCCACTTTTAAAGATTGTGGATCATAAACATAATGGTTGGGGCCTTTTCTTACCACCGAAATTCTAAATAGAGTAAGCATTATCTTAGCAGAAATATGACGACTTTAAACTAAACTAACAACTATATCTCAGAGAATTTTCTTCGGTAAAATTACCCTTGTTTCAGGCCAGGGTTTCATCAGTATTGCGCTATGTTCTTCCGTAATCCTGAGTAGACCTCATTAGCAGTTTTGACGGCGCAAATTCTCAAGTCGGTGACGGGCACTCCGATTCTCCAGTACAGCAAAAAATGAGAAGCCAAGCAGTAGTTTTATGTTCGATGTTCCAGTCCTAGAAATGTCTCTCCAATATATAAAAGGGTAATCTAAAGAAGGTAGGGAAAGGCAGACAAAGGTCTGATTCGAAGAGTGTTGTTTCATCCCTAGTAACGACCAGACTAAACCACTGAAAACATCCC